CTAAACTGATGATTTTTTCAAAGCAAACATCGAAAATAAGCATCCTGTCACCAAACACTAACTTTGGAGGCTCTTTAAGCTAATTAATACACATTTGCATGTTAGAATTGTTTCTGGGACTCACTCTCTTTCTATATGTACAATCCAGGGCAGTTTTGCAATTTAGTAAGAAATAAAGCTACTCGTTCGGAAATTTGACGATATGGTCATCACGCAGTGTGAATTAAAGAACTGAAGTCGCACCAAAAAGTCATATTATCTGGCCAGTGATTTCATGCCTAGATACAAGTTCGTTCTGTAGTGTCTGACTAAAACAAGATAGAACCTTGTGGATTTATTATGTTTCACTGTGGGACGGAATAGTTGTCTTGCAATTAACATTCAGTCCGACTGTTTTTCGATCCATGGCTGCGCATGCAAATGCGAGCCGAGCTTAACTACCGAGAAAACAGAAAGCAGCAGCACCGAAGCTTTTGCGTTGTTTTCCTTGCCTCGAATAAATCAAAAGATATCACTAAGCCCACAAGCAACGACAAATCCACTTATGTATGTGCGCATTACTTTTATTTGGGTGCTCATTGCATCTTACCTCACAGATAGGTATCCGCGTCGATCTTTGACTCGCAGTGCCATTTCTTTGTCTACACAAAATGCAGTAGAGTGAAGCGCAGTGAGTCAAATTCAAGGAGTAGGCGTGTTTTTGCGCAGCAAATATCATAATAGATTTCGAGAACTTTTTACAAGTTTAGGCGATGGCTGCTCGAATTCAGTGCCTTACAACTTATTTCATCGTCCTCTCGCAGATGAGCTTCTCAGCTACATTTTTTTTTTCTCTCTAGCATTGACAGGGTTCTCTAGAGTTATTGGTTTTACCTTAGTCTGCCTTTTTTTAAGCCACAAAATTTGGCCGTATGAGTATGATATCCTCCCAACTGATCGTTTGTCATTTTCCTCGTTTTACAGCCGTGCCAACTTTTTGCAGTGTTGTCTAATTTATGGTCAGCAGCGTTCATTTCGAGTACATAAATTTCTTTTGTAGTCGCACTTCTGGGCGTTGTTTGTTCGATTGATAGCTTTTTCCTTTGCTGTTTGATGCATTGTTTTGGACGTTGAGATGGATATTTTTACTACAACAATAAGCATAAACCACGAAATAAACGGGGCGGTCGCTTCGGAAGTTTGGAAATGACATTAGTGTAGTCAGAATTACCTGTCACTGGTAGCATTCTTCAT